TATATATATATATATATATATATATATACATCACCAACAATTTTTTATTATCCGACATGAATCTTGAAACATGGCACGGATCTCGACATAATATTTTTAGCACGAGATGTTCAAATATTGATAAAAACTCATCTAGAGCTCTGATTTCAGCAAACTTATAGTCAAATTAACCGGCTGACTGACCCGATGAGACGAACCTAATGATATCACTCCAATCTGAGTGAAATCAATCCCAAATCAAGTCATTAAACCATTCTTGAAGGATTTTCGAACACATTTGGAAGATCAAACAGTTGTTGAATCTGACAAGTTTATGGTCAAATCGAGCATCTCAATAAGACAAATCTAACAAGTCTAAGATCACTCAATTTTGACATCATTAAGGCATCCAAATGTCCATTAAACACTATCTGATTGAAAAAAGTTATCTGGATCGTTCGATCAAAATGGTTCATATTTCTGCATTAATGACACACATAACACTATAAATCTACCCCCCTTATGAGGGGAGAGCTGGAGGTCTTGATGAGCTGCAGCTCAGCATCACCGCCGTCGATGTCGACTGTCGCCGACCTCCATTGGCCACTGCCTACCATCATTGGCCATCGATCACCTCCATCGACCACCACCTACAGTCGTCGACCACCGCAGACCTCCATCGACCACCTGTGATCGTTGTCGATCATCGTTGACCATCGTCGACACCCGTTTGTGAGAAAAGAGCACATTATTACAGTTCATGTGCCAACAACGAACTATCTGGTCATCGGCTCATGCAGCTTCCAACTCTAGCCCCCGCAGCCTACGGGAGTCATTCATACTCGCTCCTATGACATATGTAGTTCACTACTCGTGCAACTCTCTTCGGCCCTTACAGACTACGAACGTCATTTATACTCGCCATTTTGGCTTTTGTGGTTGTTCACAGCTTGTGCAGCTTCTGACTCTGGCTCCCCTGCGGCCTATGAACGTCATTCATACTTGTCACTATGACCTATGCTGTTCACAGCTCCTACAACTGCTTACTACGACTTCTCTTACCAATCAACGCTTCTGAAACAATTATCTACAACACTCACGACGTACTACTACCTCCACAATAGTCAACAATGACCCTTGCATCCCGCTGTCACCAAAAACTGCAGCGAGATTATAGTTATACAAATTTGTATTTCCATATTTTCTAATTTAGGAGAAGAATGAACATGTATACACATTATTCATAGTGAATTATTTCAACTGAGCTAGACCTCGTGGTTATTCTTCCTTTCAAGCTTTCCATGTAAAAAATAGAGGTGTCTTTTTCTATTTACTTCTCTTCTTTTATCTGTGTGTGTTGAATTCTCGTGCAACGCTAAGACGATAATTCATTACTCTACCACTGCGAATTTTCCGACACGCATCAATTATATAAATAAAATTAAATTAACAAACATATATTTTATTATATACTTAATTGTAATATAATTTAATATCAATATGTATATAATTTAAAATAAGTTCTTCATATCTTTTTATTTTAATGAATTTGCTAATTTGTTAATATTTGCTTATGTTGTTTTTTTTTATTGCATAAAATCTTACTCATAAATTATTTATGTTATTTGTAGGCATGTTACCAACACAACTTGAACTCGACTCGAAAAATTTGGATTAGAGTTGACCCTAATATTTAATGAGTTTGGTTTAATTTCAATTTTGATACTGGTTAATTTGGTTTAGTGAATTTGAACTTTTAGCATTAATTTCAAATTTGAGAGTTTTGTATTTTAATTTTGTAATCTTACTTTGGAGAATTTAATTTTTATAATTTTGGTAAATTCAATTTTATTTACTAATTTTACTTTGGTGAATTTATTTCAAATTTAATTTCATTTTTTGTGTGTTTTGATTGTAATTTCAATTTTGGTTTAATTTGATAATTTCATTTTAAATTTACTTCCTTGATTTTAATTTTTGTTGTTTTGTGATTTTTGGTGGATTTTGATTTTATGTGATTTTGATTTTAGTGATTCTGAATTTGATCTTTATGATTTCATTAAATTTCATTTTGTTTATTTTAAATTTTATTTGTATTTTGAACTAAAATTGGTGATTTTCATTTTTCCTTTTCTTTTATTAAAAGGCAAATCATATATTAGTTTAAAATAAGCCTCATACTCAATGTGCTCTCTACAAAAAGAGAAGTGCAAAGTGCCTAATGAGAGAGACTAAATAGAAGACTTATGTTCCTATGGTCAAATGGCAACTTAAGGTATTTCCAAGTATATAGGAACTAAACTTGAGCTTCAATGACTTGAATTTAATCATCTCAACCAAGGGTTATGAATTTGAAATCAAGTGAATAAAAATATCAGGAGTGACGAGATGTTTGAAGTCCTACCTTGGTATTTGTCCAATCACTAGTCATCTAAGAAAACTATTAAAGAAACCCTAAGGTTAGATCATAGGATCAAGAGAAAGATAGAACATAGTAGACCTCATGTAAAAATGAGGTTAACAAGCACTCCTGAGCTGCTTAGGGTGATCCAAGGTCGTCATCTTTGAAGAATGATAGACATGTTATTATATCAGTGCTAGAGGAGCGCTATCAACTATGTGAGGCCAACAAAGACTCGAGGCCATTGTAGTGCAACAAAAAGCAGATTATAGATCGTCGTGACAAATGACCTCTGAGTTTAGTGGATGAAGAGGAGGAGGAGGGAGAGGATGGAATGAGAATGAGTTTTTTTATGATGCTTTGTATGAGTTCTTCAAATACTGAACAAGAACAATAAATAATTAATGTATACATATTTTATGATTAGATTATAAATACCGTAATTATTTATTGTTCTTGTTCAGTATTTGAAGATTATCTTATGTATACATATTTTATGATTAGATTATAAATACCGTTCAATCGACACTTTACATATTTCAAATAATATTAATTAAATTTTATTTATTTATTGTTAATACATATTTGTGCAAAATGTTCTTTGTTGTGTTGGTGATTAGCAAATGTTTGTGATATTTGTTGTGTGCACATTATAAAAATGTAATCATTCCTTTTATATGTTCACGTTGCGACAGAAATTCCGGATAACATTCCGACATAATCCATCTTTCTAATAGAAATTGTGGAGGAACACAAATGACGACGCAAGTTTGTGAATGCAAAAGTTGGGCACAAATTATGTAGTTAACATTTAAGTTGCAATGAGTCGTGTTGAAATTGGCTAACGTCGACAATATCGAATGTCAATGTTGACGGCGCTGATTGCATTTGCTACATCCATTTTTACGTGGACCATATATCGAACACAAATTCACTGTTAATATTGTTTTCACTTCATCTTTTGACAAATTAGCGTTAGAATTGACCAACGTTAATTTGGCAAAATTCTAAAGTAACCTTAAGTGTTTGATATGGACCTATTTGAACTCGAATTGGATCACTTTCGATGTCATTGATTCGGTCGTAGAGATGCTCAACTTGACTATGAAATCGTTGAAATCGGGGCTCGAATGTTATTGAATTTGAAATATTTCCGACTAAAAAATGCATCGAGATTGGTGCTTGTCAATAAAAATTTCTTGATGAAACATCAACACTCTTCACAAAATAAATTTAAGAGCATCAAGATCTGACTTGATCATCGATTGTATTTTAAAGTAGTTATATTTTGTTCCTTGAAATGAGAAAATATACCTTTAAAAATAAGCAACTTGCTATATTTGGATCCAATACTAATTCAATATTTTATTTAATCAAGTGTTGAATTTAATTTTTATTTTTGTAATATTTGATTGGATCTAAATTAAGTTCATGAATAAATTTAATTAATAGCATGCTGCCAAATACCACCTTAGATAAGTTAATATAACAATCATATCAAATTATTTGAATGAAAACATATTTTTGATTGCAAAAATTAATTTGAATGATGTTTTGATTTAATATTAAAGATTTGTGTATAAAATAAACTAATATCAATGTTTAGTGTTATACAAATAAATATTTAAAATCTTTATTTTCTATTAAAAAGTTAATTTTAAATTTATTTTTAATACGACGCAAAAGTTTAAATTTTATATAAAAAATATTAAAATTTAGGGATAAAAATTTTATAATTAACATGAAATCCCCTAATCTCTTTTCATCTCCTCTGAACTTCCGAACGTCTCCTCTCTCTCTCTCTGATCAATGGCAGAGCGGGAGAGTCCAGTGGTTCTGATCACCGGCTGCTCTGAGGGCGGCATTGGATACGCGCTTGCCCGGGAGTTTGCCTCTAGTGGCTGTCTAGTGACGGCCACTGCTCGGTCGCTAGCCTCTATGAAAAGTTTGCAAGGAGACCAAAGGTTCCTCCTCCTTGAGCTTGACGTACTTTCTGACGACTGCATCCGGAAGGCAGCGGAAGGCGCAATGGAGAGGTTTGGTCGGATTGATATTGTGGTCAATAACGCCGGCATTCACAATGTCGCTCCCCTAGCGGAGGTCCCGATGTCCACCTTCGAACTCATCATGAGCACTAATGTGTATGGTGAGTATCATTCAAAGCGGATTTATTTGCGTTTGCTGATCCAAAATTGGTATCTCGAGATTCTGCAGGGAATTTCCTGTGAATTTAGGTTGGACTTTGTTCTGAGTTTGGGGAAAATGGAGTTTCTATTCGTTTTGAGTACAAATCTATTTATTTTTCTTAGTTACCTGTTGGGCTGTACTCATCTCCATGATTTTGATTTTAATTTTTTAAATGGCGGTGAAATTGTATTTATTTCTTTCTTTCTTGACTCTATTTTAGAATGAAAACCTACATTGAAGGAAAAATCGCTTCAAGGACAAGTCGTCATGCCCAATCAATTTTGTCTGAGTATTCCATAAGCTAAAGAATAGACTGGAGTAGGCCCTTCTTTCTCACTGGATCATCTGATTTTAGGCTTTGTCTGCTACTTTCATTGAGTTTTAGATAGTTTGAGGAAAAAAATGTTAGCTATTTAAGATATTAGAATATTTTAGACTGAATATTTCTTGGAGATGATTACGACATTATTCATTATAAAAGTATAATATCTTTGTAGTAATCGATAATAACAATCTCACCCTGTCGAGCAATCCCAAGGAAATGGCGTGCTATCACTTCTGCAGAACTCACCATTGTTGTGCATTTACAACAATACGAGTGATCAACACTGCTGATGCATAACTGCTGCACCTCCATTAATTGATACTATACTCTCCTCTCTCCACTGTGTATAAAAACTGGTTTAACATACATGTACTGGCTATAGAAGTTTATTATTACTATACAAGTTGCATAACCACTGCTATCACTCTGCTGTTTGATCACTTCTGTTGTTAATTTTTTATTTTTGAGTTTATTTTGTTTTGTTTATGTTTTGATTTGATACAATACATGTTTGATTATTTGATTAAAGTATGATGGTTTTTAAAAATACTCAAAACACCTAAAAATTGTTTTGAGTGTTTTCAAAAATATTTTAATTTGTTTTGGGAAAAAAAATATAAAACATGTAAAAACACATTGAACAAATATATTTAAAAAATAAATAAAAATAAAAGAGAAAGTAGATCCCAAACAAGCCCTTAGGGATTAAGGTTATGTTCTTCAGTTAAATTTTCAATTGGTATGCATTATAATAACTTTGATTGGATTTGATTGATTATGTACATTTTTGATCTCATTGCATATAGCTTGTCATTTAATTATTAATCTTTGAGTGTGATCATACAATCATTGAATGAGTATGGTTGTTTTGGTCATGATTAGGATGGTACTAAGTTAATAACCTCTAGTGATTAGGTTAGTTGCATGTTATGTGTGTAGCTTATATAAATAAAAGAACGTTGAATGTTTATGTTCGTTCTCTAGAAAGGGTTAAGATCACGAGGGGATACACTTTCGTTTGGCTGATAGAAGCACCACTCGATCGTTGAGGGGGGAATACGTGAGATTAACCCATCTGTTGGAACTTCATTTACTTGTCCTGATGCCAGGTTTGTTACTGTGCTTTCCTTTTCAATATGTTTGAGTTCATGATGCAGTAGTGATGATGTTCGACCTACGTTAGGGGGGCATTTACATACATACATACCATCCAATTCTTATGTATTTACATATCTAACATTTAAAATTTACTTTTTACATTTATATAAGCCAAAAATTTCATATCACATAAAAAATACCACTATTTTAACTTTTAAAAGGTGAAGCACGCCATTTCAGGCATAGGTAGGGTAGCATATATTTAAAAATTGATCTTTAGGTGTAAGATATGTAAATAGATAAGAATTAAGTGGTATGTATGTAAAACTTCCTTAATATAAATGGTGAGGCTGGCGTTGATAGGGGATTCTCTCATTGATAGCAGTCCATTAGTCAAGTTGATCTTTGCTCCCTTTGGCCAGCTTTGTGTAAAAACTTTTACCCATTTGGATTTGTCTGGCAATATGGGGGTTTCCAGCATGTCACGAATTGATTCATCCCTTGTTTGGCTGTGCTATTTGCGGTGTTGTCCTTTTTGAATATGAACATGTTTAACAGTGTATAGTTTAGCATTTGTGTATGTCCATGTTTATGCATATGAAAAACGTTTTCCTTATACTTCCGTGGTTGCAGGGAGAGATTTTCTCATGATTTTGCTCATCCTTGTTTAATATGTTAATATGTTCTGGGTTGTCCTGTGTTTCAGTCAGCACTCAAGTATTTTTATTGGAGTTTGGTAAATAGTTTTCATGTCCTCTTTGGTATTTTTCAGTAGGATTTTAGTGTTTATAGGTACTTAACTCTATTGTTTGGTATTGATATAATTTTTTTTTTTAAATTATTTTTCCTTGATTATTGATCAAAATTCTTGATTTGATTTTGTTCAAGTTGTTTTTTGCCCTTGAACTTATAGCTGTTATTAATGAATTATTAGTGGATCTGTTGGAGGGCTAATATAGCTTTCTTTCTTTAAATCAACTAGAATTGCTGATTGAAAGTTATTTCAAACTTATCGATTACAGGAATGTTGTGTAATTTTGCTGAGTTGATTTACTTTCATGTAAAAAAAGTGCATTATGAAATGATTTATTATTGTTGGTTATGTGGATTGGTAATTTGGTAGTATATCGTTGAAACTGGGATGTTACTAATGATTTCTAAAGTTTGTGCCTTCAGTCAGTTTGTTTTACTTGACCTCCCAAATCGATATGAAATGCCCAAGCAAGAATTGTCTTGGTATGCTAGTGAGAAAACTCGTCTTGTTAACTTTAATTTCTATGTATCAATGAATTTGGATCCTTTTCCAACTATGGTGTCTTACATAATGGATCTTTTTGCATTGTTGGAGAGATCTGTTTTTTTCAGTAGCAGGCATTGCTAACTTCTGTGCTGCAAGTTGAAAATTTTTAGTGCAGCATATGTTTGAGGCATTTCAGCAAACAAGCAAGCAAGATAGTCTGTTTTTTTTTTTATCCTGGAAAACTGGTTCGACTCAACGCATTAATTTACTGAAATAATTCTCAATTTTTTCCCTAAAGTGATATTACACCTTTTAGTTGTTGGTAGAGCTGCAAATGAATCAAACGTCGGACATGCTACTTGTATCTTGGCTCGATTAGAGCTTATTTCCAATGGTTTGATTAACTATTTGAGTCAGGTCAAACACTTCGTTAATACTTGGTTGCTATGTGAGCAAGCTTGAGCAGCTTGTTATTAGATTTATTTATATTCATGAAAAATATCGTTCAAAACTTGTCAATAAGCACATTAAGGAACTTGATTACGATTTGACTAAGACTTGTTCATGAATAGTTTCGTTTACATTTTTATTTTTTATCCTCAACCATTTTATTTTGATATGGTTCGTTTTTCGAAACAAGTTACTCATATAAAGTTCGAGTAAGGCCCGATTATAGATTGTTTATTTTGTTAAACGAGTTGCTAGTTAATGGCTTCATAATCCATATGTTAACCAAGCTTTAATTGAGCTTGATCTAAGTTCTAATAGGATATTCATAAATGAGCTTGTGCTTAAACACATTCTTAAAAGCTCTGATAAGCTCTAATAGAGGTCGAGTAGGCTTTTAATAAACATTTTTTTGTTGGGATAATGTCATTGCATGGCTGTTGGTCAATTGAGATAGTATTTTTTTTCTTGTCGATACATTCAGGATCCAAATCAACAAGCAAAAACGATGAAACGACAATAAATAAATGAAAAAAAAATTCAAATGAGGGCTGCTCTTATGAAAAATAAATGAAAACAAGCAAGATAAAATGATGATCTACTATTCAATGGTAGATCATTTCTCCTACAACACAACCCTAAACGTTGCTAGGAACACCACAAGAAAAAAAAGAACACAACAACAACAAAAATGCATCCAAAAAAGAACAAACCCTAAGTTATTCCCCTTAATAGAATCCTTCCACAACATTTCCAAACTTTTTTTCCCAACTTTATCTCCAAACTCCTTTAATTTCTCGTCCTTGAATATGTGATTAAGGCCCTCAGGGACCCAACTGCTCTCTGCTTTTTTCTGCCGCTACAATCTGCTGCCCCGCTCCTTCTCACGGAAAAGACGGGCCCGCCTGCTGCTGTGGCGGGCCGGTTGGGTGGCTCTAGGCCGGTCCAGGATTGACAGGTTCACTTACGGGAGTAACTATACTCTCCTTCCAAAGAAGTACATTGTTTTCAAAGTGGAAGGATAGAAACTTCTTGTGGATCACCTCATAAGGCTCCCGCGTTGCTTTATAGTGTAACAGTGCTTTCCACTTAACCAATACCTCATTTGCTCTCCCTGCTCCTCGGCGCACTCCTTCGATCTCTAGCAGCTCTAGAATCATCTTCAAGTTCTCTGTCATTGCCGACGATAGTGTAAAGGAGAGTATGATTTCCAATTACACATCTCAGCTGTGATACATAGAAAACTGGATTTAGTGCAAATAATTGTGGTAACCTCAAACGGTAGGTTATTGCCCCAATGCGTGCCATCACCTCATAAGGTCTAAATTATCACGGCGAAAGTTTCTTGATTCTCCTCCTGGCCAATGTCTTCTGCCGGTAAGACCTCAGCTTCAAATAAACCATGTCCCCTGGGTCAAATTGCATATCTCTTATGTGTTCATCTGCTTTTCTCTTCATGATTTGTTGAACTTTAAGTAGATGTCCCTTGAGCTCTGCTATTATCTTGTCTCTCTCTTCTAAGTATTGATCGATGTTGAATACCAGTTTAGCGTTATGGCCGTAAGGTATCAAAAATGAGGTGATTGCTGCTCATACAATATCTTGAAAGTGATGGCCTATGTTGTAGTGTGATACAAAGTATTATACCAATCTTCGACCTACACAATCCACTTAGCTCATAATTTTGGGGTATCAAATACAAAATAACGTAGATATGTCTCCACATTCATGTTAACCACCTCCGTCTACCCATCGATCTGGGGATGATATGCAGTGTTTCTTTTAAGGACCGTCCCTTGCAACCTGAATAGTTCATTCCGAAAGTGGTTGAGGAACACCTTGTCCCTAT